GGCCAGGGACACCATGAAAGCCACAAGAACAGACACAGAAGCGCCAAAATACTAAGTTCAAGAAAAGCAGAGAAGAAAGGAAACCAAGGCACCACATTCTCCTTGTTATTCTTATGGTCCTTTTCTACCCTCCATTTCTCCAAAGCAATGTGGGGCCCAAAGACACTAAGGTGAGCTACAGACATCCGTCATGGCCCATGGAAACCTTCTCGCTCCTTCCCTTTCTCGAGCCTTTATTTCCTCCTATTAATAGTACAGCCCAACCATATCATCCCCTCCAACACTAAGCTCAAATTAACCAAAGACACAATTTCTTGTTAAGCAGATAGTCCATGACACGAGACTTTTGAAGTTTTCGAAGCACCAGCACAGACCACGCGATCACCAGAGCTCAGGACCGGGGGATGTACTGGCAGTGCGGCACTCACCATGCTGGTCTGCTCTCTGCCAGCCCCACAGACTCGCTTGCTGCACGCAAAGCCTTCTGAAATGCTGCAAAAGTGGTCTTGACAACACAAGGGCAATTGAGGAAAGGTCCCTTTGGCAGATCATGCAAGCTCCCTCCATTCAGGAAGACACACCCCAACCATTCAGTCTAAGAGGTGATGGTATGTAAGGTCAAAAAGCCACAACCAACCCCTCAAGGCAGAATCTGCCCAGCTGAAGGTGTTTGAAGGACATAGTCCCCAGCTAGAGCCCAACTGCATGCTAAAACCCCCAGTGCTGGCTGGCCATAAGCCAGGGGTAGACTCACACCTGCTGACTGCTACTACAGGAGATACCCCAAGGGTGAAGGAGGAAGGTCTTGAGTACCAGTACTGGCCTAACAGTTGGCATTTTGTAGCGGAAAACATAGGAAGGCAATAAAAAACCCTTGTTACTCATGAGCAAATCTGGGTCCTGCAAGACCTGGAGAATTTGTGAGGCTGAGTGATCTTCCCTGGGCAGCCAGGTAAAGGGGCACTTGTCAGAAGGACAACCTGCGCTCAGAGGCAAGGCCATACCTGGCCATCAGTCCTTCCCACTGCCAGGCTTTATTCTGGTGGAGGGGGAGGTAGAGACAGAAGCCTAAATCTGTGACTTCCACAAACCTCCGCCACCCTCCACGCCACGGGGGCAAGCGCAGCTCCCCGGGTGCTGTTCCTCCCCCAGACGCAGCCCCATAGCAGCTGGAGAGCAGCTCACCAGTCCTTCAGGATGAGCAGTCTGTGCCGTGCTGCCCAGTCTTTCTCAGAACAAGTCCAATCACATAGCTCCCTCTGACACTCAGCAGGACGATGCCTTCTGTATGCATTGTCCTTAACAGGTGCCACAGGTTGAATGCCATGATTTTAATACCAGGTGCCTTCTCCCTTATGTGTTTTATCCTGCACAGCTCGATTTTGCAATTCATTTGAAATACAAACTTTTCAAGCTAAAGAATTTGGTGTTTTATTCCACTGCCTTTTCTACGCATGCTAACACTTGTATTATGGTATTCATCTTGCATTTAAGTTTCTGAATTATTTTATGATTTACATACAAATCTACATAGACGACAGAGGTAGAATTCTAACACTTACTGAAGCCAGAATACACTTTTAAGTCGTCCTTAGGACAATTATTTAGAGAAGTTTCCCCTAAAACATTGATCCATTTGAAACCCAACAACTTCTGTAAGAAGCAACTTAACGCTTCTTCTGGAGCATAAAACTCCATACAGTTACTTTCAACATACAATGCTGTACACATTACCAGCACCTCTGAACTTCCAACACAAAGTCTGCTTCCTTCGTTTCTTGCCCCAGGAGCAAGCAAAACAAGCTGATGCAACTGAAGAGTAACACTACTTTTGTTACACCTGCCTAAGCAACTGAAAAAGCCAGATGACAGTCAGCAGGATACCTTGACATAATCACAAGCGACAAGGAAAAACAAAACTTTTGCTGACTTGTAGTTCCTAAACTACAGGCAACTCACAGGAGCATCCCCCTTCACGGAAAGATGTTTAACCGAACACCAGTGCATTCCAGAAAGCCAAAATATCATATGGAAAACCTGAAGATCTGGGGGGCTCTACTACAAAACAACGAATGCATTTCCGTCATTGTTCATTTTAGAGGAAAGCTGGCAGGGATTTAGACTCCTTCGTGTCTGCTGACTACCCAGATGTTACAGTATCATGTGAGTGCTGGGAAATCGATAATGAAACTTACTGATTTAAGACAACTTTTTTTTTAATTACATTAGCATCATGTATTTCCTTGAGAGGTGCATGTCTTCAAAGACATGGGGGGGAAAGAAAAAAGTAAAAAAATCAAATATTCACCAGTAGCACAGGAATTAACGTAAAACTGGTCATCCTTTTAGGCAACATCCTACCTGAAAGTAATTCCAGCAGACACTCCAACTAAGGAACTGTCCTGGCAGGAAATAATTATAGCAACATTAGCAATAAAATGACTACGTATCTCAGGGTCTCAATAGAGCCGGACCAAGACCAGTAGAACCAAAGTCACTTTTTTTTAAAAAAACTATTCAAATACATCCTGACAGGGAGGTTTCGAACCACCAGCACCTTCCTCCTCTCCTGAGGCAGCGCAGGCAGGGGCCCTGGCTAACCCTCCGCTGCTCCCCAAAGCGCTCAGCCGCCTCTGCCCCATTGCCCCATCAGCCTTCTCCTCGCCGCTGCCGGACCCCCC